TCAGACAGTCACGGGCATGTTTTTATAAAACTCTACTGTAATCCCAGCACTTTGGGAGGCCGAGGCAGGTGGATCACGAGGTCAAGAGATCGAGACCATTCTGGTCAACATGGTGAAACCCTGTCTCTACTAAAAATACAAAAAATTAGCTGGGCATGGTGGTGCGTGCCTGTAATCCCAACTACTCAGGAGGCTGAGGCAGGAGAATTGCCTGAACCCAGGAGACGGAGGTTGCAGTGAGCTGAGATCGCACCATTGCACTCCAGCCTGGGTAACAAGAGGGAAACTCCGTCTCAAAAAAACAAAAACAAACAAACAAAACTCTAAATGGCCATTTATTTTATTGCTTTGTTTTTTATAAAACTCAAAATGGCCAGGTGCAGTGGCTCACACCTGTAATCCCAGCACTTTGGAAGGCTGAGGTGGACAGATCACCTGAAGTCAGGAGTTCAATACCAGCCTGATCAACATGGTGAAAGCCTGCCTCTACTAAAAACAGAAAAATTAGCTGGGCATGGTTGCACACACTGGTAATCTGAGCTACTCATGTGGCTGAGACAGGAGAATTGCTCGAACCCAGGAGGTGGAGATTGTGGTGAGCTGAGATCACGCCACTGCACTCCAGCCTGGGCAACAGAGCAAGACTCCATCTAAAAAAAAATAAAATAAAACTCTAAATAGCCATTTATTTTATTACTTTGATCAGATTAATAGATTATAGAGTAGTAAAACAAATCATTCCATTGGACTCCAAGTGGAAATATAGAAGTTATTCACTCCTTTCCCATTTTAAGAAATCAGAGATAGCTTCTGTTTTCTCATTATCTTCTACAAGGAACATATGCATTCTAGAGATTAACAAATTCACTAAAAGACACTCAAGAGTAAAAACTTTCAAGATCAAATGAGTTACTGGTAGAACTGAAATTGAAGAAGACATTATAGCATTAAATCAAGGTCTCATCCACTGAACTTCTTAAGAAATCAAAATTGATAATGGAATTTAAGACATTAGGCTCCTGTTTCATAGACCTCACTTTTCATTTCCTATTCCTGCCTTACTCAAATATTCATGAAGGATTTTCTTTCCCTTGAATTGGTTCCAACAGCAGTGTTTAAATATAGAAGCTCTTGGAGGAGTAAGCATTTAACCAGAATTTACTCCTCAACAATCCTTCGTGCCCTTTTCCACTTGTAACATTGAAGTTGTTAATTTACTTTTCTATTACTTTCCTAATCAAATAAACAGGAACATTTTAAACTAAAAAGCTTTTGTTCTTCATAAATACTTCTATTAGGGACCAACACTGCCAATAGCATTTCTTGAAAAGGTTTGTCTAAGTAAAATTTTTACCAGGTGATCCATATATGTAGAAGGAATTTGTAAAGCAGCTACTATCAGCATAATGTTAGGCATGAATTAGCAAACAGAAAAAATATATATGGTCCCCAGACCTGAGGAACATATTATCTTACTGAGGAGGAATATAGAGGAAACAGGCAAGTGATAATATAAGGCTATCAATGATCCATGGCAAAAGAGGGGTCATTAGTCCATTTGCTATACTTTCCTATCAAAAGTAGCACTGGAAGAGATTCTTATACTCTTCTAGAGACTTTATTGATCAGATGTGGGGAGGAGCCGGGAACCTGAATTTATAAGAGCCAGGTGTTATTATTGATCTTTTCAAAAAACTAGCACCTGGATTTATTGATTTTTTTCAAGTTTTTTTTTTTTTGAGATGGAGTTTCGCTGTAGTTACTCAGACTGAAGTGCAATGGCACAGTCTTTGTGTCTTGATCTCCTTCAGTTCTGCTTTGATCTTAGTTATTTCTTGTCTTCTACTTGCTTTTGAGTTTTTTTTGATCTTGCTCCTCTAGGTCTTTCAATTTTGATGATACGGTGACCGTTTTAGATCTTTCCTTGTTTCTTATGTGGGCATTTGTTGCTATATATTTCCCTCTAGGCACAGCTTTAAATGTGTCCCATAGGTTCTGGTATGTTGTGTCTTTGTTCTTGTTGGTTTCGAAGAATATTTTTATTTCTGCCCTCATTTCATTGTTTATTCATTCTTCATTCAGAAGTAAGTTGTTCGGTTTCTATGTGATTGTGCGGTTTTGAGTGCTTTTCTTTTTTTTTTTTTTTTTTTTTTTGAGACGGAGTTTCGCTCTTGTTACCCAGGCTGGAGTGCAATGGCGCGATCTCGGCTCACCGCAACCTCCGCCTCCTGAGTTCAGGCAATTCTCCTGCCTCAGCCTCCCGAGTAGCTGGGATTACAGGCATGCGCCACCATGCCCAGCTAATTTTTTGTATTTTTAGTAGAGACGGGGTTTCACCATGTTGACCAGGATGGTCTCGATCTGTTGACCTCGTGATCCACCCGCCTCGGCCTCCCAAAGTGCTGGGATTACAGGTTTGAGCCACCGCGCCCGGCCTGAGTGCTTTTCTTAATCCTGAGTTCTAATTTGATTGCATTGTGGTCTGAGAAACTGTTTGTTATGATTTCCATTCTTTTGCATTTGCTGAGGAGTGATTTACTTCCAATTATGCTGTCAATTTTAGAGTAAGTGTGATGTGCTGAGAAGAATGTATATTGTGTGGATTTGGGGTGGAGTGTTCTGTAAATGTCTATTAGGTCCACTTGGTCCAGATCTGTGTTCAAATCCTGGATATCCTTGTTGACTTACTGTCTCATTGATCTGTCCAATATTGTCAGTAGAATGTTAAAGTCTCCCACTATTATTATTCAGGAGTCTAAGTCTCTTTGTAGGTCATTAAGAACTTGATTTATGTATCTGGGTGCTCCTATATTGGGTGCATATATATTTAGGATAGTTAGCTCTTCTTGTTGCATTGATCCTTTCACCATTATGTAATGCCCTTCTTTGTCTCTTTTGATCTTCATTGGTTTAAAGTCTGTTTTATCAGAGACTAGGATTGCAACCCCTGTGTTTTTTTGCTTTCCATTTGCTTGGTAAATCTTCTTCTATCCCTTTATTTTGAGTCTATATGAGTCTTTGCATATGAGATAGGTTTCCTAAATACAGCACACCAATGGGTCTTGACTTTGTATCCAGTTTGACAGTCTGTGTCTTTTGATTGGGGCATTTAGGCCATTTGCATTCGACGTTAATATTATTATGTTTGAATGTGATCCTGCCATTTTGTTACTGGCTGGGTGTTTTGCCCGTTAGTTGACATGGTTTCTTCATTGTGTCATTGTTCTTCACTATTTGGTATGTTTTTGCAGTGGCTGGTACTGGTTGTTCCTTTCCATGTTTAGTACTTCCTTCAGTAGCTCTTGTAAGGCAGGTCTTGTAGTGATGAAATCTTTCAGCAATTCCTTGTCCATAGAGGATTTTATTTCTCCTTCACTTATGAAGCCTAGTTTGGCTGCATATGAAATTCTGGGTTGAAAGTTCTTTTCTTTAAGGATGTTGAATATTGACCCCCACTCCCTTCTAGCTTGTAGGGTTTCTGCTGAGAGATCACTGTGAGTCTGAGGGTCTTTCCTTTGTGGGTGACTCATATTTTCTCTGTGGCTGCCCTTGGACTGTTTTCCTTCATTTCAAACTTGGTGAATCTGACAATTATGTGCCTTGGGGTTGCTCTTCTTGAGGAGTATCTTTGTGGTGTTCTCTGTATTTCCTGGATTTGAATATGGGCCTGCCTTGTTAGGTTGGGGAAGTTCTCTTGAATAATACTCTGAAGAGTGTTTTCCAACTTGGATTCATTCTCCCTGTCACATTCAGGTATGCCAATCAAGCATAGATTAGGTCTTTTCACATAATCCCATAGTTCTTGGAGGCTTTGTTTATTTCTTTTCACTCTTTTTTCTCTAATCTTGCCTCCTCATTCTGTTCATTAATTTGATCTTCTATCTCTGATATCCTTTCTTCTGCTTGATCGATTAGGCTGTTGAAACTTGTGTATGCCTCTTGAAGTTCTTGTGCTGTGTTTTTCAGCTCCATCAAGTCATTTATGTTCTTCTCTAAGCTGGTTATTCTAGTTAGCATTTCATCTAACCTTTTTTCCACGTTCTTAGTTTCTTTTCATTGGGTTAGTACATGGTCTTTTAACTCAGAGAAGTTTGTTACTACCCACCTTCTGAAGCCTGCTTCTGTCAATTAGTCAAACTCATTCTCTGTGTTGCTTTGTTTCCTTGATGGTGAGGAGTTGTGATCCCTGGGAGGAGAAGAGGTGTTCTGGTCTTTGATGGTTTCATTCTTTTTGTGCTGGTTTCTTCCCATCTTTGTGGATTTATCTCACTTTGATGGTTGAAGTAGATGATTTCGGGAGGAATCTCCGAATGGATGTCCGGTCTGTTGAGGTTGGAGCTATATCCTTTTTGGCCTGTAGAGGCGCTGTGGGCTGTCTCAGATTCAGTCAGGTTGCCGGGTGGGTGGTTCTTCCCTGCAGTTTGTTTGCAGATAAGATTAGCCCCGCCTTTCCAATGGCGTCTCTCCTTCCCGGAGCTCCATCTTCCCAGCTGGGGTCAAAGTGGTGTATTTGCTGCCAAGCTCTCTAGCATGCGGGCTTCTGTTTGAGGTTTGTGGTGGCGGGGCCCACCAGGCCTTATGCCTGTTTCCCTGCTTTCAACTCTACCTCTTTCTGTGGGGCAGTCCGTCCCGAGGCATTACTCCAAACTTCCGCTGACAACGTGCAGCGCCCCGCAGGAGCCATCCCTCAGGTCCGTGCCGACAACTTGTGGCACCCGGCTCCGTCGCCCAGATTTGCATCAAGAACCCGCCCCCGCCCCTCAGTCTGGCGGGGCTGTCCTGGACCATGGCTTGCAGGAGGGATGAGGTAAGTAAGGATCCGAATGGAAGCACCCAGGGGGTGAAGCGCCCGACCCTCCAAGCCGGCTGCACGTTCCGGGTGGGGATGCGCCCCGCCCTGTCTCGGTTCACCCGCCCTGGGCGGCTCTCGCCCTGCGGCTCCTTCCCTGGGCTCTTTTCAGTGCCCTACCAGTCCCACCAATGCGACCCTAGCACCTTACTTGGTATGGTGAAGTCCTCTAGCCCTCTGCGTCTCATTCGCTGGGAGCTGCATTCCGGTGTTACCCCCTCTCGGCCATCTTGACGCTGCCCCCGCCAGGAGCCTGTAGTCTTAGCTACTCAGGAGGCTGAGGCAGGAGAATCGCTTGAACCCAGGAGGCAGAAGTTGCAGTGAGCCGAGGTAGCGCCACTACACTCCAGGCTGGCAACAGAGCAAGACTCTGTCTCAAAAAAAAAAAATTATGTATGTATATACACACATACATATACTAAAAAGACTAGGGAAAAACAAAAAAAGACTTAAGGCCATGTGAATAGGTAACTAGATCTTGAAATAAAACAGTTAAGGAAATTGGCTTCATATTAATACCTGTGTCAGTACTGAGAGGAATCAGTTGATGTATTTAATAATAAATACTGAAAAGCCGGGCACAGTGGCTCACGCCTGTAACCCCGGCACTTAGGGAGACTGAGGCAGGTGGATCACGAGGTCAGGAGTTTAAGACTAGCCTGGTCAACATGGTTAAACCCCGTCTCTACTAAAAATACAAAAATTAGCTGGGTGTGGTGGCAGGTGCCTGTAATCCCAGATACTCGGGAGGCTGAGGCAGAGAATCGCTTGAACCTGCAAGGTGGAGGTTGCAGTGAGCTGAGATCGTGCCACTGCACTCCAGCCTGGGCAACAGAGCGAGATTCCGTCTCAAAATAATAATAAATGCTGAAAAAGATGTAAATTTAGTATTATGGTTAATCACATTCTGATTAGAGGCTTGGCCCCTGGGGTTGCGCTTGGTATGCGTCATCTATTTCGCTGCGGAACTCTCAACTCGTAATAAAAGGAGGCACAGCCAGATACCAAACTACTGTCTGTGTAGGAGTTACTGTGAGTAGCACACATGCCAGCTTGTAAAAACTAGTACATTTCTCTGTTTTCCTTAAATCTCTTTCTGATAACCTCATGTCACCAAATAAGAAATTTAAGCTGTATTGTCATCATGCTAAATATAAAAAAAATTAGACCCATACAGGTAACAGGAGTCACAAATTAGGGCCCATCAGCTTAGGCTTAATTCCTGGGTACGTTTTATTAGCCTACGTACATATTGCATATAAATAGAATTTATTAACTACTAAAAATTTGCAAGTATTTGCCAGAATTAATATGGGAAGCTTTCACATAAAACTTTATTTGAAGCTTCTATTACAAAATCAGATCTGGCACTATTTTGCCTACACTGAGATTCTTTTTTTTTTTTTTTTTTTTTGAGACACAATTTCACTCTGTTGCCCAGGCTGGAGTGCAGTGGCATGATCTTGGTTCATTGCAACCTCCATTTCCGGGGTTCAACTGATTCTCATGCTTCAGCCTCCCAAGTAACTGGGATTACAGGCACCTACCACCAGGTCCAGCTAACTTTTTATTTTTAGTAAAGACAGGGTTTTACCATGTTGACTGGACTGGTCTCAAACCCCTGACTTCAAGTGATCCATCTGCTCACCTTGGCTTCCCAAAGTGCTGGGATTACAGGTGTGAGCCACCGTGCCCAGCCAGGCCCACATTGATTCAGCAGCAATTGGCTTTAGCTGAATAGCCCCTGTCCCTTTTAAAGGGGTATCTTCTTGTAGCTTGCCACAGTCCCCAACCTTGTTTATGGTCTTAAACCTAAATGCTTCAGCCAGTGATTTGGCCTTCGTCCCTGTAAACATTTGGTTTTTGCCGCTCCAACCCACAGGGTTTTGAGAGAGAAGTGTGACCAGAGTTCAGTAACCCAACGGGCCAACTAGGCATGTGTTTAAGGGTCTCTGAAAACACATTGTGTTTGAAATCTGTATGTTTGCTAGTTACTGACTTGCTGAAAAAAAGAAAAAAAAAAAGAAATCTGTAGGTTGTTAAAACATTGAAGTAACAAGGAGAAATGCCAGCTCTGTACTGGATTGTCTAACACCTATTTTACAGTGTGGAGGTTTTAATATTTTTAATTAAATGGAGAAGGGGCACATGGACCATCAACAGTTTTTCAGTGCTAAACACCAGGAAAATCATTACCTGGACCCTAAATTGAAACTCAAGGAGGTTTTTCACCCCCAGGTTTTCAGCTAGACGAAGAGTCAAAAATTGGAGGATCTATAGTTGAGATTATTTGGAGTAGTTTGTCAGAAGTCACAAACGACTCTGGTGGCATGGTGGCTCACACCTATAATCCCTGCAGTTTGGGAGGCTGACGAGGATGGATCACCTGAGGTCAGGAGTTCAAGACCAGCCTGGCCAACATGGTGAAACCTTGTCTCTACTAAAAATATTAAAAAATTAGCTGGGCATGGTGGCACATGCCTGTAATCCCAGCTACTTGGGAGGCTCAGGCAAGAGAATTGCTTAAACCCTGGAAGCAGAGGTTGCAGTGAGCCGAGACGGCACCATTGCACTCTGGCCTAGGCGACAGAGTAAGACTGTCTCTAAAATAATAAAAAATAAAAAAACAGAAGGTAGTAGGTAGCCAGTGAACTCTCATCTTACATGGATTTTATATCCATCTTACAAGGATATAAAAATACCCCAAGTAAATAAGAGGACACTCCTAATTTTGCTTTTAATTGATTAAGGTCAAAGTGGAATAATGCATAATATTATTACAGATATAATTATTACAGATATAATACTCCAACCTGGGTGACAGAGCCAGACTCCATCTCAAAAACAATTTAAAATAAAAATAAATAAACAAAATGGAATACATAAACACACAAAGCTACACCAAATTCCTTTAATCTCAACCTGTAGTTATTACATTTTCTCATATTTTAGTAAGTCATAAAGTTGTTTTTTGCTACATACCCAGACAAGATAGCCTTACGGGCTCAATAGTAAGTTGTGAAAACTGCAACAAGTTAAAATACACAAAAATATAAATTCCAAATTTATTATAAAACAAAGAAAATAATAAAGATTATTCTCAATGTGAGATTAGATAATATTAAAAGTAACTTAAGAATTATCTGAATTAATTTCAGATTGTAGTAGAAAAAGAAAAGAAGGGACAAGGAGGGGAGAGAAGATTGAACAATGTGTGCTCAAACTGCTTGTAAAAAACTAGAGGGATTAAAAAGACTCTGTCTCATTGTTGATGCCAACCATTACAGGAGTATAGATTAAATACTGCTTTTGAAAAAATGAATAGTCAGTACTAGTAAATTTCAAAATAATGGAGTAATATATTGCAATAAGCGCTACAAAAATTGATCATGAACTAATTGCCAATCATTGTTCAAAGGATTTCACTCTGTCACCCAGACTGGAGTATAGTAATGCTATCATAGCTCACTGCAGCCTCAAACTCCTGGGCTCCAGAGATCCTCCCACCTCAGCCTCCTGAGTTATTGGGACTACAGACATATACCACTATGCCTCACTAATTTTTTTATTTTTTGTAGAGACTGGGTCTTGCTATGTTGCTCAGGCTGGTCTGGAACTCCCAGCTTCAAGCACATCCTCCTTCCCTAGTCTCCTAAAGTGTTGGGATTACAGACCTGAGCCACACAATGCCTGGCCTGTTTTCCCATTTTCACAGACGATGAAACTTCAATTTAAAGTATGTGGCACATATACAAATTGATACAGCAAATTATTTGTAGAACAGAAATTAAAAGCCCGATCTGTCTGATTCCAGAGCATGAGTTCTTAATAATCATGTCTTACTCGCTATTAAAACATTTGTGAGGATATAGCAAAGAAAATATAATTCATAGCTGGTTGTGGTGGCTCCTGCCTATAGCCCTAGCAGTTTGTAAGGCCGAGGCAGGCTGATCACCTGAGGTCAGGAGTTCGAGACCAGCCTGGCCAACATGGCAAAACTTTATCTCTACTAAAAATGCAGAAATTAGCTGGGCATTGTGCTGGGCACTTGTAATCCCAGCTACTCGGGAGTCTGAGGCAGGAGAATCGCTTGAACCCAGGAGGCAGAGGCTGCAGTGTTCTGAGATTGCACCACTGCACTCCAGGCTGGGTGACAGAGACTTCGTCTCAAAAAAGAAAATACAATAACAGAACAAAATGACAAAATGAAGAGATATATCATTTGTTTTAATGAATATATTTGAGTAGAATTTCCATGTTAAGAGAATGTCATTTTGGTTCTAAATGAGTCTAAATGCTATTTTTTGATGAAAAATGATAATCTGGGCTGGGCATGGTGGCTCACACCTGTAATCCCACCACATTGGGAGGCCAAGGCAGGCAGATCGCTTGAGTCCAGCAATTCAAGACCAGCCTGGACAGCGTGGCAAAACCCTGTCTCTGCTAAAAATACAAAAATTGGTAACTTGGGAGCCTGAGACATGAGAACTGCTTGAACCCGGGAGGTGGAGGTTGCAGTGAGCTGAGATCATGCCACTGCACTCCAACCTGGGGGACAGAATGAGACTCTGTCTCAATACTATAAATGGATATAGTATTAAATTATAATATTTTAATAAATTATATCATGAAATTTAGACTTCAGGCAAAAAAGAATAAACAAGAAATGTTAGACCAGTAAAGGTATATTTCACAATAAATTATAATTTCCACAAACCTTTACTAAGTAGCATTGAACCAGAATACTTATCACAATAATGGCTACAAATGCTGTAAAGACTGACACAAACCGCCCTCTCCAGTATCTGATGGGCAAAAAAATAAACAAGGATAAAGGGGGTCTAGAAAGAAGCATATAGATGAATTTAAAAGAGCAATTGCCCTCCAACAGCAAATTTGAAAATCATTGAAATATTTATTAATCTAAAATGTTCTGGCCTGGTTATTCGTGTCTATAATCCCGGCACTTTAGGAGGCTGAGGCAGGAGGATCCTTTGAGCCCAGGAGTATGAGACCAGCCTGAGCAACATAGTGAGACCCTCTTTCTACAGAAAAAAATTAAAAATTAGCTGGGTATAGTGGCACAAGCCTGTGGTCTCAGTTACTTGAGAGACTGAGGTGGGAGGTGGCTTGAGTCTTCGACGTTGAGGTTGCAGTGAGCTGAGGTCGCACCACTGCATTACAGCCTAGGTGACAGAGTGAGACCCTGTCTTTTAAAGAAAAAATGTTCTGTATTATACATAAAGAAACTCTCAAATGAATTGATGTGCTGATGTTAAAAAAAAAAAAAAAAAGGCATTCATTGTATAAACCAAAATTCCGGTTCCAGAAAGATAGCAGCCTAGTGTGGGCTGCTAATTTATCTTCTCAAACTCAACCCAAAACATAACTCAGAAGGAAGAAATAATTGTTGGGTCTGAGAAAGTGAAGTAAAATTGTGAGAAACCCTTATGGAGGTAGAAGGTGGCTGTGATACTGTCTGACAGAAAGGTGCAGCTCTTGGCAGAGGCAGGCTGAATGCGGGGTCAGGGATGGGTGGGGGACAGTTTGACTTGAACTCTGTTCTCTCTGCGTTGCGCTGGCACGCTCCTGCCCATGGCATCTCTCTACACAGCAAAGACATCTGTGCTGGCCAGCATGGTAGGGTAACATGATAGTGGGGGCCTCAGAGGAGAAAAGTTCAAAAGCCCTGGAGGCCAACCTGTGGCCCTCGAATGTCCCCCTCTCTCCTCCCCATGGTGAGCTAGCCCTCACATGTGGCATACAGGGATATGATCTGGGAGAAATACTCTCAAAAAAGAAGGCTGGGCATGGTAGCTCACACCTGTAATCCCAGCACTTCAGGAGGCCAAGGCAGGTGGGTCATTTGAGCTCAGGAGTTCAAGACCAGCCTGGCCAACATGGCAAGACCCCATCTCTACAAAAAAATACTTAGCCAGGTGCCTGTGGTCCCAGCTACCAGGGAAACTGAGATGGGAGGATCACTTGAGCCCAGGAAGTCACAGCTGCAATAAGCTGAGATCGTACCACTGCATTCTAACTTGGGGGACAGAGTGAGACCCTATTTCAAAAAAAAAAAAAAGAGAAAAGAAAAGGAGCTGAGCCTGGGCAGAGATCAGTAGAGTTCCTGAGAACATGCTTGCCTAAGGTGAGGAGTGGGGAGGTGGGGGCCAAGGTAATCGTCAAGCATAAACTATGGCACCAGAGGCTCTCCAACCTGAGATGTACACACACATATCTTAAAGTCACCCGGGGGCAGGAAGTAGAGCATGGGTTTCTCTAGATCACATTCCCCATTCAAGAAGGGTTTCTCTAGATCACATTCCCACATTCAAGAAGGTTTGTGTCTATTTTACAATTGTT